GAGAATTGGCAGTGAGTGCTTAGGCCGCACAATCTAGCGGCCCACTGCGACGGTGGCTCGGCGGGCTGTTGGGTAGCGGCATAAAAATTGTAGCGCTCACTAAATCCAACCTGCTTCAGTGTGAAATGAGTATCCAAGATGGTTAGGATATCCTCAAATGGGATTTGCTGGAGATCCTTTGGTACAGCGAGATCTGAGGCAAGCTTGAACGTACCGTCGGCGAATGCGCTGAGAAGAATGGCTCGCCGTTTTACTCCTGCGGCATCATTTCAGGCATTTATTTCGTCTGCAATGAACCATTGCGTGATTTTGGTTCTAAATATCTTCCACGATTGCAATTCGTGATTAAAAGTTGGAAGGGAACCACAGCTAAACGACATATTTTGAAGTGAAAACTTCTTTAGCGGCGTTGTACACTTTTTCTGTAATGGGTAAAAAAATGTTACTCTCACGTCAGGACACGTGACCCTGATCGAAAATGCGTTTTAAAACGGATGGAGAGAGAGAGAGAGACAGCCGGCGCGGCATAGGAGAGGAAGTATCCCCCTCTCTTTCTACGGCGCGGCGAATATGTATACCTGCCGTAGCCGCGTCGCGTCCACACGTAGGCGCGCGTTTAGTTTGCTACAGGCTCCCAGAGTGATTAAACGCATCCGATTAAAATTTTATATACACGCTTTGTAGGATGGATGCTCCAACTACCAGCCTTTTAGTGCCAATTTCATTTTTAAACATTACTACTACTTTAATTATCGCGATTTAATTATTTTTAAACATTTGTTTTAATCGATAAGCTATTTATCAAAAAAATGAACATTTATTAGCAATCAGATTATTACGAGAACAACTTTAAAGTGAAAAAAAAATGAAGCACGTCGTTTATACGTGGTAGAACCATGCAGTTATATTCGAAGTATAGTTGTAGCACGAATAGGTCGGCTCGACCGGGGAAGGACAACGCTCTCACAGAATATCAGCGTAAAATAGTAGCCTAATGATGCTGTATTTCGTATAGTGAGGGTAGAGAACCAGAGACCCTTTTTGAAGGAAACGAGGCATTTCATCTTAGTCCTCACGGGTGGATCTCATTTTGATTCAAGGATAGATGTAGATGTCTGTGGACCACAGTAACCGCTTACCATCAGGTGAACTGTGTGCTCGTTTGTCACCCTATCCTATAAAAAAAACATCGATTTCTTATAAATTAATCGTGCAAGTTTTCGAATCATCATCATCATTACAGCTCTTCACAAGTCCACTACTGAACATCCTCCTCCACAGACTGCCGCAAAGCATGGTCCCGAGCCACTTTCCTTGTCATGAGTTTTTCATTTATGTTCTAAGTTATAATTAGTACCTATTATTAAGTCAGTGTTAATTATAATTATTGCTATTGTTTTTGTCTTTCTCAAAAAATAAAAAAAATTACCAAATATTTTATAAGGTGTTTTTATATACATCAAATGTCTGATAGAAAAGCAAGTACATGTTTTGCTAAACTTTGAAATCAAAATCCAATTTCAAAACATAGACTAAACGATTATAAGCTAATTGAAGCTAACTGAACGACCTTCCAACGTGTGGATGCCGTCACAAACTCTGGGCCAATATCTTCGCCACTACATTCGCCACTGTGTTGGCCAACGTGTAAAAACGCCGTTAGGCGGCGCAGGGCGCTTGCGCGAATGTTCGTGTGTGATAATTAAAGCAATTCGTGCAAAATTATTCCCTAATCATTCCAAAATATCAAAAATGCACAACGTTAATATTAATTAAGCGCACCCCCGCGATCGACAACTTCATACCAAAAGCCTGGCTTTTTCTCTCTATACTAATTACTATATGTACAATCGTAGTTATATTTCATAATAGAACATTTTGCCATAGGTTAGAAAGGGAGCGATCGTCTTCTCGAAAGCCCGGTAAAAAGGCCACGCGTGCGAGAGAGACGTCTGATCGCTTAATTCAACTCCTTTTTTTATGACAGCAGTATCGCTAAGGCTACGAGGTTTGAAATTTGAAATAGTTTGAAACAGTTTACGAGTTATTTTATTAGTTGATATAATTGATTGAGCAGTTTTAAAGGGCAAGCCCGGCTTCACCGCTTCTATGGAGGCTTCACCACTGCCTCCTTGTTCTCCAAAATAATGAAGTCCATTGTAAATTGCCAGCTCATGGGGTACCTTGAGGATCACCAGCTGATTAGTGACCGCCAATACACAAGTTTGCACGTTTACCGCTAAAAAGAACCCCTTTGTCGTATCTCCTCAGTTTCAAGGTACTCCCCTTGCTACTTCAGCTAGCATCGGAATCCTTGGCGTCGACATATCGAATAGTATGCAGTTTTGTGGTTACTTTACAAAGCGCGAGTTCGGTTTCACATGGAATACTGTTCTTATCTCTGGGCCGGAGCACCCCAGTACCAGCATTTTTTTATAGGATAGGGTGACAAACGAGCACACATTCCACCTGATGGTAAGTGGTTGCTGCGGCTCATAGACATCTACATCTATCCTCGATAACAAATCAAAATGCAGATACGTTGTGACCCATGAGGACTAAGATAGAATGCCTCAAATCCAGTAAAAAGGGTCTCCGGCTCTCTACACTCACCATACGAAACACAGCAGCATTAAGCTACTATTTGAGGGGCCTTAGAGATAAAAAAGTTGGCTTGGAACTATAACCGCTCAGATTAATGAATAAGTGCTCTTAATTGCTCATAAATTTCTCAATTCAAATCCGCAATTGCTCACTTTCTAATTGATTATTTTATTAGTTATTAATAATTAAAAAAAATTGTTTTTGCCTATTATACTTAAAACCACAAAATGCTCAATTCTAATTCTAATTAAGAAAACTTCATTGGTTTACTATAACAGGCAAAAAATTTTTTGTAATTTTAATTATTAATAAATTATTAACAAATAGTGTGGAAAATTGTGGATTTAAATTGAACATTTTGTGAGCAATCGAAGGCCTTTGCTCATTTTAAGAACAGTCTATTGCTCTACGTAATATAGGCAAAACAATTTTGTACTTTTAACTATTAATAACTGAATAAGTAATTTATTAATAGTGTGAGAAATTGCGGATTTGAATTAAAAATTTTGTGAGCAATCAAGAACATTTTTATTCATTAATCCGTGCGGTTTAGGCAAAAAAATTGTACTTTCAATTTTAAACTAACTAGTTAAATAATTAATAGTGTGAGCAATTGCGGATTTGAATTGAGCAATTTTTGAGCAATCAAGAGCACTTATTCATTAATCTGAGCGGTTATACTTTGAAGCCAACTTTTTGTGGTGCATCCTTTGTCATTTTCTATCGCATCTACCACGGGGGTGCTCTGAGAAATTGGGTTAATTCCAACCGCCAAATTTCATGAACGCACATCGCGTCAAAATTCACGACACACTTCACCATCTGGATGCTTTGCGGTTCACTCATGTGCGTTTTACTAGGAGTTTTCTTCCTCATGCAACTTCTCCTTCAAGAAAAACCATGTAGTTCCGAGTTCAGTGTTAAATTCTGAGACTGATATAACGAAATTAATGATTACTAACACATGAGTAGATAATCTGTTTCCTAATCAGTAGTTTTTAATGTCAGACTAATCATTGTTTATTTGTCTGGGGGCTTAAAATGAACACGATATCAAACTGTATCAAAGATTATTGTACACTTTTGGAGCATGAGTGTAATGTGTATATAGTTACTTGAATTCGCTTTGCTAACCTACTGACTGCATTTTTTTACGAATGCTTATTATTTATTCATCACAAAGTATCAAAAATTCTTTAGTCCCAATAGATTGCCTCTTAGGAAAGACTTTGGCGAAGTTCACGAAATTCAAGAAATCATCGTCTGCTACCACGTACTTTTCAGAAGTAGCGCTGCGCATTTTTCCTGTTCTTAAATCTCTTGCAAAATATAAGTATTTTTATTTTTTACGTAAGGGCTAACTAGGCTCTAATCAAAGGCGGCAGAATTTTCGGGGCGGTAAAATAATACTATTTTTTACCATAGGTACCAAAAGTAGGATATAGATAACCTTTTAATTTCTGAGTTTATCTAGATAGGCTTTATCCCTGAGCAAATTATATATTTTTCTAACGCAGAGCAAAGCTTGGTCAACCCGGTGCCAAGTTTAATTGTGATAGCCAAGGACTATAAGGTAGGCAATTTTAATAGTCCAGGTTGTCTTTGAACCTATATACGATAATTAGGAATGTAAAAATCACCCAAAAATCTAAATTTTTGAGTGATTTTCAACAAGCTGTAACTCCGAGGAAATGATCGTACTGCAAAAAGAAATCAAATTGTAGCTTCAAGTGTCGAGTTTTCAGACATGGCCATGAGTTTTTTATCATGTTTGGTTCGGAAGTGATTCTAAGGAAACTAGCGCAAAAAAATTTCCTAATTTTATCTCGTCTTTAAAAAATCTACGGGGTTAAAAAATGTTTTTCATTATTTTGCTAGAAAGGTCTTTTAGGAAATTTAATGCCCTTCAATTTGACATAATCAATAAGCCTGTACAATGATTTGCCACGGAGTTATCGTTAATCAACTAATAACTTGGAAATAATGATTTTGAAACTTCCCCATGAGGTACCAAGAATGGCTTTCGAAGCGATAACTTTGACTGATTTTATATCTGCGTTTTCTTTGAGACGTAATACTTACTGAAAGTATATAATAAATCACAAGTTTTTTTGGTACATAAACACATATGAGACTAATTGTCATTACGACACTCGCCTTAGATGTCATAATACCTACGTGTGTACCAAAAAACTATTCCGCTGCTGAAAAATTAAATTAAAATGTAGTCTGTAAATCCGCACTAGAGCCCAGTGCAGCAGATTCGTTCCTGCTCCATAACCACTGAGGAACTATAACAATATGTTACATTATTTGGGGGGTTACATTGTTTTTTTTTTATCTTCGGAAACCCATTGAACGTATTTTTTTTTCTTAAAAAGAGTTATAAAACTTACCGTCGAGATTCCAAGCACCTTCTATTTGATACGAAGAAGTCGCAGCTCCAAATTCAAAGTCTGATGGGAAACTACTCAAATTTGTTTGTCTTCCTAATGAAGTTGTCACTAAAAGGGACCTAAAACAAAATGTAAATCTGCATAAGTTGATAAACGTGACTGCGCCTAATCATATACACTTAATTGTTAAATATTTCCTTATGAAAATAAACGTTAGATCTTTTCTTATAAGTATCTATATGCATTAAGTTTTTTCATAATGATTTTACTACAAATAATTTTATATATATTTTAATATAACTACCAACAAAATTATATATTTTGATTTTATAACGCAACAGCATTAGGACTCTAACTTTTAGACAAAATACCAGCTTGTTTATCGAGGTTTTTTTTTTGCGGATGGAAAATCATCTAATGACGCCTTTCGCTCTGGGTGGAGCGTAAGGGAGTGTCAGACTTTTACTGACTAAAAACCATCCGTGTTCCTTCAGTGCCCTTACGTTCCGGAGCCGCGGTATCTCTTTCGAACAGCCCGCAGCCCCGGCAGGCGTCGGCCCTTGCGGACCCCTTCACGCTGCTGACAGCTCTTTGAGGCGCGCGTGGAACAAAACGCGCCGTCGACACGGCCTGTCGTCGTTAGACGGACGGACGGCGAGCTACCCATTGCTCGCCGTCCACAGGCCCGCGTCTACGGTGGCCGGGGGCCACGACGTAGCCCCCGACGCCCGGGGCGTCTCCCGCGGCGGCCGGGGAGGAAAGCTGCTGCTCTCTCCTTCTCCCGCTCCGCCACCTCCTTTGCTAGCATCACTGCTTCGCAGAAGGTGGTGACGGCATCCCATTCCGTCTCGTTCCGGACCATGGCTTCGACCAGGGCCGGACGCGAGAGGTCGCCGCCGCCTATCGCCGCTACGAGGACACGGCGGTGCTCCGCCCAAGCAGGGCACACCTCTACGGTGTGTTCCACCGTGTCCTCCGGTCCATCCTCGCAGTGGGAGCACCCGGGCGTTTCCTCCCGCCCGATTCGGTGCAGGAACCTCCCGAACACACCGTGTCCGGTGAGGACCTGCGTCAGGCGGAAGGTGAAGATGCCGTGGCGTCTCTCAAGCCACTCCTCAAAGAGGGGTCTTATCGCCGCTATAGTGGCGTGCCCAGCACGGGGTTGCGACAGTCGCTGTCTCCATGTCGCCATGAGATCGTGCCGGAAGTCTGTCCGCTGCGCGACAACTTGCCGCGGCAGCGGGGTTTCCCCACGGCACAGTGCCTCCGCGCGCCATTCGTGCAGGCGCGCGAGGACTATCGCCTCCAGATCCCACGGCGGCAATCCGGCAAGGAGGCTCGCCGCCTCGCGGGAGATCGTGCGGTAGCCGCGAACCATTTTCACGGCAATCACCCTTTGGGGCGCGTTCAGGTGGTGGACGGCAAGCCGCGCCAAACCACGCGCCCACACCGGGGCCCCGTAAAGGGCCATGGACCGCACGATCCCCGCGTTTGTTTATCGAGGTTTGGTTTAGCTTGGCTAACTAAAGGTTAAACGATGATAGATATTTTTAACAAATACGATGAAAATGTACTTATAAAGATTAACCTAAGGAATAATTTTAACTTATCAACAGGGCCACCCTGCTGAAAGTAAGTTGTATAATAAAACACTCTCGATTGTTCCACGTCTATTAACTCGTCACAAGCCTTGCCTAACCGTCTACACACTTTTGACAAATTTATTTATTTATCTTATAAGAAAATGCCACCTACCCTACAAACTATATAATATGTTATTACATAAAAGTAAAGTTTATATATGTTACAGTAAAAAAACTAACATATTTTACGAAAACCGTATTAACGAATCTGACGTAGGTGTTCAGTAGGGTTGCCAACTTATTAAATATCAAATAATAAGTTATCTTTACAATCAAAAATCTCAGCTCGAGCTACATTACTACATTGCTTAACATTTGGAGGTAACTTTATAATATATCTTTGTAGTATTGCATTGTAAGTGTTCCTTGCTTCCGTGTGTAGTGTCAGTTAATAACGTAACAAAATACTAAATAATAAAGTGGAGCTATGCTTTGCAATTGAAAAAATGCAAAAGGTGGAAATTGTGTCCCCACGGGGAATATTCCATTAGAAGTGAACCAACAGAAGCAGTGTGATATTAAACTGGTGTGGAGTGTGCAGAATTGTGCAGAATTAATATTTGTTCCATGATCCGCCTATTAACTGTTTCGAATAAAGCTTCTAGTTATTAGTTGTACTCCTTACCATCAAGTAAGTTCGGCACTTTACTTGACGGGAAAAGCTAACGCATAGCCGTCGGACAGCAACCGATTAGGAGGCCTAAGGCATCATTGGAATTAATGAGCTGAAACCATTGAGTTATATGTACTACTTACTGGAGAAGCTATTCCAAACAAAAATGTGCACTACTCTGTATCCGCACACGCGGAAACAGCAGAGTCGCGCATGCGCAGTTGATATAAACGCGCGAAAATTGTCATAATAAATAATTGTTTATTTAGATTGTATTGTTTATCGAGTAATTTTTTTAATATAAAATTATTATTAGCGCCGCTCCGAAACGAATGAATATCGAAGCCACAATAACAGGTGTACGGATTGCAGTACAGTTCAGTTGAACATAAAGCCCGGTTTACATTTTGAGAAGTGACAAGTGCGAGCGGCAATGACAAGTGACAAATGACAAGTGACAAATAGCAAGTTGGTGTTCACACATGTAGCAAGTGGATGTCATTATTATGGGAAATCTGCGAGTGTGAAATTGGGTAGGTAATTGTCAAAGCGGCGCTAGCATAGCTTTAAAGTTTAAAACTTTAATCAAAAAAAGGTAAAATTGTATGATGAGATAATTAGTGAAGGCCTTATTGCAAAGATATTAGTGCACACCAATTTCTTAAAAACGCTTAAGTGAGAAAATGTGTCTTAAAGCAAACAATTTAAGCCTGAAAATAATATGGCTCCAGCCCCTGACCTACAGGAGTCTTTAATTTTCTTCTTTTCTTGGTAATGTGTAGACTTAATGCTTCTTAACTTCGCATATACCCACTTCTTTTGCGCCGAAACCGGCCATTCCCGTTGCTTGAGATATTGAGGGCATAGCATCATTTTATTTTTTTAATTCTGCGATTTAATATTGTATAAACATTCGTGTTTCAATAATTCCTTGACAAATTTAATGTTATTGCTATCTGACCACTTCGTAATAAAACAAAATTACTATAAATACGAGTATGTATACAATATATGTAACAAAAATATCTGATTAAATGACTATTATAACCAAAACGTGTATGTTCTGACGTCACCGCTAGAACGGAGGCGGCAGTGGGTGACTGAGGGGAAAGCAAGGTTAGCGCGGGGCAGAGATACTTGTCAGAGAATAGAGCAGGCCACTATTCACTTGTTACTTTTCATTTCGAACTTATCACTTGTCACTGCCTGTTCACACGCACTAAGCACTTGTCATTTGTCACTTGTCATTATCACCAAAACGTGTATGTTCTGAGGTCGCAGCTAGAACGGGGGCGGCGGTTGGCGATTGAGGGGAAAGCAAGGTTAGCGCGGGGCAGAGATACTTGTCAGAGAATAGAGCAGGTTGCTATTCACTTGTTACTTTAAATTTCACAGTTATCACTTGTCACTCGCACTTGTCACTGCCTGTTCACACGCACTAAGCACGTGTCATTTGTCACTTGTCATTGTCACTCGCACTTGTCACTTCTCAAAATGTAAACCGGGCTATAGTGAGTGTTCGGAATGCCATATCTAGTGCGTAGTACATATATATCGATGGCAGAAATGAATAATCTCTACTCCAGGCGGGGCGATTACGTGGCGGGAATGAAAAACAAGCAAGAATAATATACTGTTGATGGTTCTTGCTTTTAATTATTAGCCATAATTTACTTCCGCTCTATATTTTTAAATTTCTGTTTATCAATTTCATATTTGATGTAGTCTATATTATCTATGATTTACGCTGATGATTTTTTATAGAAATCAAAGTATAAGACGAGCACGTGGATACGCGAGCAACTGGGAGGTGTGTACTATGACCAATGAACACATCTCCCGTTATCCTACTATTCAATTAAGTTCTACTACTACCTACTATTAAATCTTTGATTCAAAATCTATCTAGATTCTGAATCAAAGATTGAATCTCCAATCCTACGCATCTGCGTTGAAATCACTGAGGAGGATTAGATGGAATTTTTCGTTGCCAGTTAAAAGCTCGGAAGCGAAGTAGCATCAACGTAATATTTTATTTATTTCACAGTCTCTGTTATCAGATGAAAATTATTTGTCAATTTCTTTCCGTTAATCTAGACACATTAACAGCGTAATCGATCACGTGGTTGAAAGCAAGCTATTTTTAATTAACTGTATTGTACTGTTGTCCGTAGTATTGGTCATTTCAAGTCAAAGTAATTTTGTTTGGCTAAGAATTCGAAATTCAAATTATTTTTTTTTTTAATGACATGGAATTCTTTTTTAAAATTAGTCATTTGTTTATTGATTAGCGTTATGTTTTCACCGCATTTGATTCTTTTTCGTCATCATGGATACATTAAAAACACAAATAACTATGGAAAATGAATACCGTCGTGACAGCAACGCGACACAAAGCGGCACGTAACATCAACGACGTTTACGGAGCGAATACTACAAACGAACGCACCATCTGTTTTGGAAATTTTGACCTGAAAAACGAACTTCTTGGTCGTCTGAGAACTTTGGTTGACAATGACGAATTAGGGGCGATTGTGGAAGCTGATGATACTAAATCTACGGCTGAATTAGCTGCAGCTTTCGACGTTAACATCAAAACATTATTAATTCATTTGCATCAAATTAGCAAGGTAAAAAGCTTGACAAATGGGTGCCCCATGAACTTAAAAATCTCCAGTGCGAAGTACCCGTCGAGACTTGCCTTGCACTGCTCAACAGGCACACAAACGAAGAAATTTTGGACGGCATTGTTATCTGTAACGAATAAATAGATTCTGTTTGACAATTGCAAGCGTTCAACAAGTTGGTTGGATCCTGGTTCAGCATCTAAAAAATAAATAATCTGATACGAAAACTTACCCCTAGAAAAGTGTGATTCTTATTTCGTAAAAACCGGCAGTTTCATAGGTAAAATCCTAATATTATAATTTTGAGTGATATAGAATCTTTTGGTAAAAAATACCAGATATTATTGTTGACGTAACTTTTGTCTAGAATTGACTAATCGGGGCCACAACGATGGTGTGCTCACGAAAATCCTTAAGTTTATGGTTCCTATATAACAATAATGTTTGAAAAGTGCAATATTAAAAGTTTATTACTGTTGGCAAGCCAAGGTGGAGTCACGGGGCAAGAGGAGTATTGGTATGGCGATATGCCTCTCACCATATCCTCCGCGACTCTGACGCGGCTGCACCGCTGATGCGGTGGTGGTGGGGCCATGTGGGGAGAGCAGTAACGGTATTGCGAGCCGCCGCTCTCCCTGCCCTCCGCGGCCTCCAACTTTGTTTATGGCGGAGCTAGAGAACAGACGCACCTTTCGATTTTCCTGGACCATGGCCTCCGCTTATTGGACTCTGAGACTCCATTACGTTGGTGGAGTTGAAGGTCGTAGAGGATGTTGTGCCATGCGTTCCTGATGTGCCTTGTTGGCTTTTTGTTGAGACACAAACAACTTGAGAAATAGAATGAGAAGACCTACAACGAGGAGGGTGGGCCGGGTGCGGATGGAGCCATGGATGTGTTGCGACAGTCCAACATAACCCGTCCTTGCCCCCGCGAGGTGGGTATGCGTAAGCTATTCCCAAAAAAAGGGATGGTCTATAAAATCACTTTTCATTTCAGTTTTTTGTAAATCTTAATATAGGTAGGTATATAAATTATGTGTCACGTTGTTTGTCCGCGATGGACTCCTAAGTGCTTAACCGATTTTAATCAAATTTGCACACCGTATGCAGTTTGGTCCAACTTGAGAGATAAGATAGTTTTTATGTCCATGCGTGACCCACAATTTTTTTTGCGAATTTAAGGATTTTTAATAGGACATGACGAAGGGTAGTCAAGAAGGCAGAACAACGTTTGCCTGGCAAGCTAGTGTAAATGTATTATATATTATGTCATTCAAATAAATTGCGGCTCAAATTAACAGAGCGTAATCGTTTAGACACATGTTTTATTTTCGACGAACGAGCACTTTTATGGCTTTAAATGATAGCTCAGAGCCTTCACGAAACCGGGAATTTTTTTTTATGTGTAGTAAGACGTTTATAAATAAAATTAAAAAATATTACTTACCATATCAATAAAATTGTTTTTGTTTCTCCTGCCATGGTATTTTTGATAACAACTCTCATTGAGACCTAATGCTAGTGGTGCCTTTATATAAATTATTGGCCTTTTATCTTATTATCTTTAAATCGATAGGTGTTCTGTTATAAATAGCTAAGTAAGGTTGACAAAAAATTTTTAAGTGTTACTCAAATGAAGAATATACTTACTATTTTTATGGGTCAAAATTTTAGAGTTTAAATTAACTCAAAAAAAAGACAAGTAATAAAGCGACCTAAAAAAGAAAAAGATTTTAATGCGTTTAGTTTCGACTTTAAAACAAAAGAAAAGTTGAAATTAAACGCGGTCAAACACACCACCAACCTGTGTACCTGTGTGTTGTGCCTAAACTAACCTAACTATTGCGTAGATATAAGAAATCATTATTTTTTACATAACATAATAGCTTATGTAATCGTTGCTAATCTGCTAAGAAAAAGTCAATCGATGATCTGACTTCAAGAGGTATTAAGGAGATAAATATAGACAATCCAGAGCGACAACTGCATCTCGAACTAAATCGGATATAACCTACATATAATCACGAGTTGTTCATGAAAAATGTACGAAATCAATTTTTCTAGGAGTGACAAACGAGCACAGAGTCCACCTGATAGTAAATAGTTGTTGTGGCCTATAGACATCTAAATAATGTCACCTGTAAGGACTAAGATGGAATGCCTCCCTTACAATAAAAGGGGTCTCCGATTCTCTACACGCGCCATACAAAATACAGCAGCACAAAGCTGTTATTTAAAGCTGGTATTATGTGAAAGCGTGGTCCTTCCTCGGTCGAGCCGATCCATTCGTGCTACAAACACTCAATAGCTGCAGCATGGCTCTACCACCTATCAAAGTACTGCGATATCGAGATTAAGAAACACCGTGTTTTCATTCATACACTGCAACCTGTCAAAGTAATAGGCCTCCCTATAGATTATATCGTAAAAGGGGATAGTACCTGGATGACCGAGCTTTCCTCAGTATTTTTTTTGGAAATCGATGATGATGACTGATGAACATGAATAATATTTTTGATCTTATTGACATAATAGAAAAAACTGAACTGGTTATTTGAATAAAAAACCATGAGTGCAATTAGTTTAATTTAAATTTTCGTATTTTTAAAAAAATGCTAATGAAAAAGGGCTCGAAATAATAGATTTTCTCACAAAAGGAGTAAACTTGAAAAAAAAAAAGAGTCGGACCGAAAACAGGACGCGAACCAGGGCACTACCATTTCGCGACGGCCCGATATCCACTTAAGCTTGAGCGATCATTAATGCAGCGTCAAAATTTACCTTCTTATATTGTAGCAGTTTTTCATTGCCTGAAAACACGGACAAACGACATTTTCTAAAAATGAATCCTAGCTAGATCGATTTATTGCCCCCGAAACCCCCTGGACACAAAATTTTATGAAAATCGTTGGAGCCGTTTCCAATATTTCGTTTATATATATATATATATATATATATATATATATATATATATATATATATATATATATATATATATATATATAAATAATTATAGGATTAACAAAGTCGCCCCGCGGACAAGCGGTAGGCAAAAGGAAGTTGTTACTGATCTCATGCAGTGGTGAAGCTGCCATAGTAGCCGTGAAGCCGAGCTTGCCCTTTCAAACGGCTCAATCAATAATTCAAAAAAACATCCCATTACTATGTAACTTAACACTTGCGTTAGCTTTCAATTCTCACTGATTCGTGCTCTCTCTGTCTCAAAGCGAACACGCAATGGACTGTCAAAATTAATGAAAGAAAGGAGTTGATTTGAGCGATTAGTCGTCTTTCTCGCACGCGTGGGCTTTTTACCAGGCTTTCGAGGGTCGATCGCTCCCTTTCTAACCTGTGGCAAAATTTTGTATAATGAAATATAACTACGAAATGTTTATATACCAATTACTATGGATCCAAAAGCCGGGCTTTGCTCTGAAGTTGTTTCCGAGGGCGCGGGCGCGCGGGCGATACGTTTGCAAGTTCACTTCACATTTCAATGTTTACTCCGTTTGTTTTTGTTGTGTCTGTTGAAAATTTATGCTTTTTCAAAGATTTTTAGTGAAAATGGAGGACAATAGTGTTCTTGTGATGAATTGAAGTGTGTTAAAGTAATCGGCGAGGAAAAGGTAAAATCTTTAAACTTTGTTGAGAAAATACACAAGGTCAAGAGCGTCTTTCGGACTTATCAATATTCGCAATTCAAAAACAGTTATAGGTATAATTAAAACGTTCACCCACATTTTACGCGGACGTAATCAAATCTTTCCTTAAGAAAGAGAGACTATTCGATTCAAAATATAATTTTTTTTTTAATTTTGTACATAGTTTGTTTGCAGTTTTTTCATGTATAGTATGGTAGTAAATATCCTTTTCTTTCGCTCAAGCAAATCCAAACGACTTTTTTCAAAGTATATCACCGAAGGTGTACAATTGCTGATATGTCATACAATCTATCTAGCAGTAGTATGCCTTCTGTGTGCTTTGTTAAACATGTCCTTGACAGCACTGAATATGAAACTGAAGAGTGGAGACAGATCAAGATTGGTGTATTTTTATAAAACTGTTAAAAACAACAAAACCATATCTTGGGCTTGCCGTGGTTCGGAGCCCTAGCTTCGCCACTGATCTCATGGTTTGTTTCTCTCTGTCATCTTTTACGACACCTACGTAATTATATGGGTAAGTAGATACTCTTACAGCGCTACTACACTGTCACGGTCCCGGTCACGGTTGACCGAGTTTCCTTGTCGCTACTTACTTATTAAAAAGTTTGTTGGATAAGCCAATGGTAATTTGTTAATCCAAAAGGCAAAGTTCTAGATGTTCAAAGAAAATATACCGCCCATTTCATCCTATTGGTGTTTAAAATGCGACTATGTGAAATGCCAGATAATTTTCGATTCTGATTGATATAGGAATAGTGATCGTTTGCTCTAGACCAGCGACACAGAGTAGAGTCAAAGCTGCTCACGTCTAGTACTGTTCAACAATTTGTCTATCAACCGTGGTGAATATCCATAACACCTTTACTATTTGAAAGGTCTCTTTTTCTGTCTAGCAGTCTGTCTGGGTAAGTCCATCCTCTAAACTATTTCTGCCACCAAATAGCAGTGTACCGATTTGAAGGGTGAGTACCAGTATAATACAGGCTCTGATGTATTGCAACTTAATTTTTAGAGGTGACAACGCACCTGTTGTCACCTCTGAATCAGTCTTGTTTGAAGTTGGCTGCAGGTGTACATAAAATGTGGTAGCAACTTGCCATTAAGTGGAGTGAGCGTTTTTTACATTAATTTTAGGATGTGCTCATGTAATTCATTAGAGCATTTAGAATTAACAAAAGAGAAGGAGAAGAGTATTAGTTACAGACAATATACTTTTTTATATCACAAAGAACCCTATTTAAGTGTTAATCGCTACCTATCTGTAAACGTAAGTGAATTTTATGACAACTCAAACATATCTTTATTGCCATAAATTTTGTTTTGCCGAGCTAATAAATTCATTATCTTCCTTAGTGGTGAGATTATTTGATGCAAGCAAATCAAACTATACAATAGCTGCATACCATGTTAGGTAAAGTGCATCGAATGAAACTACTTTTAAGGATTTTATCGTGTTTAATTTTACTTATTTTTAATTTCCAAATTTTCAAGTGCTCTGCGGAAATAAATAAGTAAAATTAAACGCGATAAAATACGTGAAATAGTTTCATTCAATGTGTTTGTTGTGTTCGAGTAAGTATAAGAAATCATCAGGTAAAATGTGATAATAATTATATTGAAGTAAATATGTTGTGGATAATGTTCGCCGTGTAGTGACGAAGTCAGGGAATCTAATACTCCATAACATCCCGTTGGTGTTGATGATAGAGGGTTGGTGTAGATGATAGAGGGAAACTGTAACGGGATATGGGCAACAGCATTTTCTTAATATTACCGACTTCAAATAATGAAAAACTATGATTGTAAATCCATCTGCTAAGCATGGCAAATATGGCTGGCATATCCCTATAATGCAATCTATAGTATTTTTTATAGAATAAAGGTAACAAACGAGCACACAATCCACCCGGTACTAAGTTAATGCTGTGGCCCATAGACATCTACATCTATCTTCGATAAAGAATTAAAATGCAGATGCCTTGTGACTCTTGAGGACTAAGATATAATACCTCGTTTCCAGTAAAATGGGTCAGTTCTCTACACTCACTATACAAAACCCTGCAGCCTTAAGTTGCTACTTCACGCTGATATTCTGTGCAAGCGTCTTCCCCGGCCGATCGATAACTATAATACAGCTGCAGCGTGGCCTTCTACGTAAATACGTGATAGAAGTATTATGATTTATTACAGTAATACGACTGGCACGTTCTGATATTGCACACATAGATACTGTCCCTGAGTATATTAGATAGGCGTCGGTAGCAGTTGGATGGACGGCTGATAATGCTAAGTTGGGTAGTAACAGTAATAAGACTATTGCATATAATGTGCTCTACATTGTACACAAGCCAGTCTCTCAGGTGACTGTTATTATTAAAGCGACTAAGCGAGCGATGCTCGAAGTACAACATTGTAAGTATTGATATTATAAGACATAAAATATTTTCTATTGCGACCCCTTTGTTTGAGCTACGGATAACAATGAAATATTGTCGTATGGAATTTCGCGATAAGATATCGTAACTGGCACAGAAACTGCTTTTATACTGCAGAAGGAAGCGAAAATTTTAGCATAATAATAATAATTAAAACATAAACTCTTTCATTTCATTTCCCTGAAGAGTATATTGGATAAAATTTAAAATAAATAAATATAGGTACTAATATTAGTTAGCATAATGTGGGATATTTAATAGAATCAAGCGTTACTTTGCGGAAATTCATTATAATTAAGTTGGTAAGAATTACTTCGCCCACATTCGTTCAATGAAATAAAGCAACGTGTTTTACCTAGTTTGAAGAGCACCTACCGCCCAAATGCGTGCACAAATCCCGTCAACA